CTCTTGGATATATTGCCCGTTCTTTGACAGCGGTCGCAGGAAGCAGCAAACTGATTAGCATCCCTAAAAAGCGTTGGCCAAAAGAATCCTGAGTCCAACACCTTTCTTGCTGTCCTTGCTCCTGAGAAGTGTCCACCAACTGGGCCACTATGGCAGGCTGCCAAAATCTCCTTTCCTTCTGCTTCAGTCACGCATCGCCGAACTACTTGGTCCGCACAAATCCGGAAAAGGTAGGGGTCGTCCCAAAAATAGAAGTGGGCTTCTCGCTTAAGCTTCTTGCTTAGGTGTTGTGTCAACAAGGTAGGCTCGATCTTCCCTGCCAAAAAGTTGGCAATATCTGCATACCAAGGCTCCTTTTCTTGTATGACGTAGATCCTCTCAAAGGGAAAGGACTCGTTTACGATACAATTTCCAAATTGCTCCGCTACTTCCACATCTAGTCGGGATAGATGATCTGCAGCTTGATTTGCCGATCCTTTTCTATCCTTGATCTGTAAATCAAATTCCTGTAACAATAAAACCCAACGTAATAACCGAGGCTTTGCATCATTCTTTCGCAACAGGTATCGCAACGCCGCATGGTCGGTGTAAACGACCACTGGAGAAAGAATGATGTAAGGCCTGAATTTTTCCAAAGCGTATACAATTGCTAGGAATTCTTTCTCAGTGGTTGTGTAGTTGAGCTGCGCTCCTGATAAGGTTTTACTAGCGTAGTAAATTGGGTGAAAGACCTTTTCCTTCCTTTGTCCAAGGATTGCTCCTACTATTAGGTCGCTAGCGTCACACATTAGTTCAAATGGTAGTGCCCAGTCCGGGGCAATAAGAACTGGGGCTGAGATTAGTTTTTCTTTCAAGGTATTGAACGCTTGTAAACATTCATCCGTGAAAACAAACTCTATACCTTTTTCTAATAGGGGTTTTGCTATTTTAGCTAAGTCTTTGATAAATCTTCTATAGAATCCTGCATGCCCAAGAAAACTTCGGATGGCTTTTACGGAATTCGGTGGTGGCAGTTTCTCTATAGTCTCGATCTTAGCTCGATCCACCTCCACCCCGCGACTTGATACCTTGTGACCTAAGACTATCCCTTCTTTGACTAAGAATTGGAATTTTTCCCAACTAAGGGCTAGGTGAGTTTCCTCGCATCTTATGAGGACTTTTTCCAGATTACCTAGGCATTCGTCAAATGACTTCCCTGTGATAGAGAAATCATCCATAAAGACTTCCATAAAATCCCCTATAAACTTTTCGAAAATAGCTATCATACACCTCATGAAGGTGGCAGGAGCATTACAAAGTCCGAATGACATTCGACGGAATGTAAAGGTTCCGAACGGGCAAGTGAAAGTGGTCTTCTCCTTGTCTTCAAGGTTTACATGGATTTGGAAGTAACCACTCATCCCATCCAAGAAGCAATAATACGCATGGCCAGCTAATTTCTCGATGAGTTGGTCAATGAAAGGAAGGGGAAAATGATCCTTACGTGTGGCATCATTTAACTTTCTATAGTCTATGACCATTCGCCATCCAGTTACCGTTCTTCCTGGAACTAACTCTCCCTTCTCGTTTTTGGTTACTGTCATCCCTCCCTTTTTTGGAACGACGTGGATTGGTGACACCCATTGGCTATCTGAAATAGGATAAATTATTCCAGCATCCAATAGTCTAAGCACTTCCTTCTGCACTACCTCCATTAATTTTGGATTCAACCTGCGTTGAGCCTGCACAACTGGTTTAAATCCGCCCTCAATGGCTATTTTATGTGTGCAATAAGCGGGGCTTATTCCTTGAATATCCTCTAGTTTCCAGGCAATTGCTTGCTTGTGCATACGGAGGACAGCTAGTAATTTTTCCTTCTGATCAGGTGTTAGATCGGAGGCTATGACAACAGGGCACTGGCCCTCACTATCGAGGAAAGCATATTCGAGGTGTGCTGGTAAGGGTTTAAATTCTAAGGATGTGGCTTCGTTTGTGGGTTCAGATCGCGTCTTGATGTCGCACACCTCCTCACACTTAGGTTCTTGAAAAGCAATTTCTAGGCTTAGGAGATCTTCTACAGACCATATATCTTTCATGACTTTTACTGAGTTGCAGAACTCAGCTGGGTCTGGAGTCCAATTCATGACGCTCATCATTTTAAAAGTGACGTCTTCATTGCCTACTCTTAGAGTTAATTCCCCATCGTGCACATTAATTAATGCCTTTGCGGTCGCAAGGAATGGTCGCCCTAGTAGTAGCGGCTTTTCCTTATCTTCTTCCATATCCAACACCATAAAATCAGCAGGAAAGATGAACTTATTTACCTTCACAAGCACGTCTTCAATCACCCCCCTGGGGTAACGAATAGAGCTATCCGCCAATTGAAGACACATTTGAGTGGGTTTAAGTCCAGTCAATCCCAGTGCTTTCATGATAGAGGACGACATTAAATTAATGCTAGCTCCTAGGTCAGCTAGAGCGTCTCCAAAGGTTCTATCGTTGATGGAGCAAGGGATGATGAAACATCCAGGATCCTTTCGTTTTCTAGGCATTTCCTCAAGTAACATAGCAGAGCATTCAGCATTTAAGCTGACAACTGGGAATTCCTCCCAGTCCCTCTTCTTAGTTACGAGGTCCTTTAAGAACTTACCGTATTTGGGCATTTCAGTTAACACATCTACCAAAGGCATTTTGACCTCAACTTGGCCAATGACATCGAGAAACTTTTGGAAAGCCTATTCATCTTTTTTCTTTTTCACCCTAGTAGGAAAAGGGATAGTGTTTAGCTGAGCTTGGTTGGTTGGTAGGGTTTGGCTAGAAGAGGTTTCTTCCTTTCCCGCTCCTTGGGGCGTGGATTCATTTTTCTTTTGCGGGGTTGTTCCTATAGGGGTATCCACGCGTACTTCATCTATATTGACTTCGACTTCTGGGTCTTGAAGCTCTTTACCACTTCTCAAAGTTATTGCCCGAAGTTGCTCCCGTGGGTTTGGTTCAGTGGTAGTTGGGAGGTTCCCCTGTTCTCTAACTCCAAGTTGTTTAAACACTTGTTGGAGTTGACTATCTCGTGTCTTGTCACGTTCCTTCATATCATCTGCTAGATTGTTCATCTTCTGCATGTACTCCATCATCATCTTCTCCATCCTTGCCAAGGAATCTTCTTGCGGAGGTTGGCGATTATGAGGTGGGACGTAGGGTGCATTGGTATTTTGGTAGTTGGTTTTATTGTTATTCCAGTTACCTTGTTTATAGTCATCCCTGGGACGATTGTTTCTTGGAAAACTATTTCTCTCCCGCCAATGCTCCTGATTGTTCTGGGCCCAAGGTCCTTCCCCTTTATTCGCGTATTGCGCTAGATTAACCTCCTTAGCCCTGCTCGGAGGGGGTGGTTCAATCAAGGGACAAGCAGAAGAAAGATGATTTTGAAAGCAGTGTTCACAAGACAAGACAAGATC